GGCATCATCTCCAAATTCATACTGGCAAGAAACCTTAAAAATGTGAAGAATATGGGAAAGCCTTTAACCAGAAATTAAAACTTACTCAACATCAGAGAATTCATATGGGAGTGAAATATTAAAAATGTGAAGAATGTGTGGCAATGTCTTTAAGCAGAAGTCAAATCCCTCTATACATCAGAGAATGCACACTGGGGAGACATCTACAAATGTGAAGTGATGAGTGGTTTGTATTAATAGGTATTTTGAAATCAGCATATTTTCATAGTAGAATGAAGCTTTCAAGAAGTTTCATTGAACTTTCAAGAAAATGAGAAAGTAATTTATAATAACATCTAAATACACATTTAAATACACATTTAAAAAAGCAGTACAGAAATAAGTGAGTAACTTTTCAGATGTGACTATTTCATAATATCTTTATGGAGCACAAAACAACATTAACATGTATTACTATAAATGTTCAATACGATGGTTTGGGGACAGTTATAATTATTTTCTCCGTACTTTTCATCAATCCTACTTGAGATATTATCAAGTGATGACTGTGATGGAGGACAAGAATAGAAAGACTGGAGAGGAGGTGCCCAAGACCAGAACCTGAGGTCGCAGGGAATAAAAGGACCATTAACCCAGCTGTAGAGGTCGTGATCCTCAGGCGCCAGTGCCTTGTCACAAGGCATAAGGCCCAAGCAGGATCAGATGGTCTAGGGAGTGGAGCACAGGCCTGAGGGTGAAGATATGGAGATCGGGTCCATCCTGGAACCCGTGACCCCTTTCTCAGTTTGCCAAGTTACCCAACATCAGCAACAAACAGTGCCACTCCCAAAAAGAAAAGGATTGTACCTGTGCAGTCTCTGGAGAAGTCCTGGCCTTGCGGAGAGCGGCCCTTGAGGAGAGTGGCCTCCGCTGAGGGAGGTCAGTGAAGGTAGGTCCTGGCAGATACAGGTCACGGCAGGCAGGAGGCTGCTGCCCCGCAGAGGAGAGAGTTGGTGAACAGAGGCACCTGCATAGTCACAGGTGGGCAGACGGACGGCTACCCCGGGCCAGTGCAGAAACCAAACTGATGTAGTCTTCTGTTTGCACCATGTGGGTTGCTCCCTGGCCGGCCAGGGATCTAACTCATGCTGCAGAGGCTGTGCTTAACCCCTTGTGCCACCAGGGAGGCCCCAGGGCATAGAATTCTGTAGGTGCACATTAGCTAAGTAACAAATCTCTATGTTCACCACCTACTGTGGGGTCCAGGAATCATAAGAACAAGAATGCTTCTTAAATGCCTGCATCTTGATTTTGACCAAAGAGCATACAGTGGTATCTGAATATTTAGACAATATGTGAACTTTTGTTTTTTAAAGAGGCATGTATTTTTATTTATTTATTTGTTTTATTTGTTTGTTTATACATGCACTGGGTAGAGTCAGAAGCGTGGGAGGGTGAGAGAATTCACCAGAGCCAGAGTGGGGAGCAGAGCAGGCAGAAGGACTGAAGTACACTGCTGAGGGGAGCAGCGGGCGGCAGGAGAGGTCTGCGCACCATGTGGGACCCTCCTCTGGTGGCCGGGGAGCAGCGGGGATCGAACCGTCGCCACAGAGGCCGCAGGGTGTTTTGCAACCCAGCACTCAACCGCTGTGCCACTGGGGAGGCCCACAATATGTGAACTTTTAATATATGTTTAATAGAGATGACTTTTTTAAAGATTTATTTATGCATACAGAGCTGGGGTACAGGCCAGAAATGTCGGGGGTGAGAGGATTCATCAGAGACAGTGGGGAACAGAACAGGCAGATGGACCAAAGTACACTGCTAAGGGGAGCAGTGGGCAAGTCAGAAGAGGTCTGCTGCACCATGTGGGTTGCTCTCTGGCCGATCGGGGATAAAACTCGTCCTGCAGAGGCTGCGGATTGCTTCATAGTGTGGTGCTTAACCCCTTGTGCCACCGGGGAGGCCCTAAAGCTGAATTAAAAAAATTCATTTAATTATTCATACAAGAACTGATGGAGGACAGGAATAGAAAAAAAATGAACAGGAGGAGCCACAAGACCAGAAACCTGGCTCACTCGAGGAGGGGGAGGTAGAAGGGATTAGCACAGCCACTGACCAGCTATAGGAACCAAGATCCTCAGGCACAACAGCTAGATTACAAAGCACAAGACCCATGCTGGTATCAGGCTGTAGGGAGAGTCTAAAGCACAGACCTAAAGGTAAAGATACAGAGATTGAGCCCACTGTGGAATCTCTGTCCCTTTCAGATTCTGCAGATATGTCCAAAATCAGCTACTAACCAATGCTCACAAGGGGTGCCCCTCCCAAACAGAAGACTACATCAGTGCAGTCTCTGCACTGGCTCAGGGCTGCACTCCGTCTGCCCACCTGAGACTATGCAGGTGCCTCTTTTCACCAACTCTCTCCTCTGCAGGGCAGCAGCCTCCTGCCTACCGGTGCCCTGTACCTGCTGGGCTTGTCTTCACTGACCCCCTCTGCAGAGGCTGCTCCCTCAGGGACCCTGCCTGGGGGCATGCAGGCCTCTCAGCAAACCTGCCCTCTCTCGGGCAGCTCTTCCTGCCCGCTGGTGTCTATGCAAGTGTCCTTTATTCTTCTGTCCCTTTCACTAATAAACCTGCCATTTAAATATAACCAATGTCTCTGTCTTATGGAGAAACGTGCCTGGGAAACTCGCTACTGTTGTGTCCAAGGTTAGCAGACTCGGTGAGCATAGCCTCCAAGAACCCAATGACAGCTGATGCAAACACAAAAGGGAGTTTATTTCAGACTCGAGTCCGGGTTCATGGCACCTACCAACGCAGTGGCAGATCCCGAGAACCCCGAACAAAGGAAGCAGGGGTCTTTTAATAAGGTTAAATTATGCTGGCATTTACTCATTGGCTACAAGGATGCGTTCTCCAACTTTGCCCGGCTATCATTCTAAGCTGACTGGCCAGGCCAAGATGCAGCTCCAACCTGCAGCTCCAATTACAGCAAGTTCGCCCTCATTGGTGACCAGAGAGTAAGGGTGGAGTGAGGGTTCAAACTATCTCTGGAATGCAGTCTTTTCCCGGGACAGCAAGACCTGCAAGACCTGAAATTCTACAATGGCAGTTACACACAAAATGACAAAGCAATGGCTAAGAATACTTATGCTTGGTTCCACAGCTACATGTCACTGAAACGGGAGCTCTGGGGACACCTTTCCCAGGGTGACCCCAAGGAACCCGCACCCCAAACTGACTGACTCCAACAACAACAACAACAAGAACAGAATGGGGGTATAGGTCCAAAGTGGGGCAGGGGATTGAGAGGATTCTCAGGAGACAGGGTGGGGAGCAGATGTACTGGCATCCAGTGCTGAGGGGGGCAGTGGGGGAGACGGGGCAGATCAGCTCTGCCCTCTGGGTCAGCTCCCCGGCCAGGATGGAACTCAGGCCGCAGAGGCTGGCAAGAGGGTGCTAGCACAGACTCTTCAACCAGTTCACCCGCGGTGTGTCCTTGTTCAGCTCCTTTTCAACTCTGCCCTGAACCAGTTCTCCACCAGCCATTTTCAGGGGCCCCGCCTACCGTCCATTCTCCCTGACCCTCTGCTCATCCTGTCAGGGGGAAAGGCTGTCCTGAGCTAATCCCATACAGGCTTGGTGGACTCCACCCCACTCCAGACAGAAGCCATCAAGACACGGGAAAGACAAATCCCATCACCACCAACGGGAGGGTGGCTGGGACCTGAGGGCGGAGCTAAGCAGCCGGGTTTGGTATAAAGCCAGACGCTGGGTCTCTCCCGGCCTCACTGCTCTTGGGCCTCCGCCAGCTCTCCGTGCCCCTGGGACTCCAGCTCCGCAGGCCGGGTAGGACGCATTTAAGACCTATTCTCCCTCTTTGCTCCCTGACTGTCCATTTCCTCATGTCCCCTTCCCTGTGGATAGCCTTTTGTCAATAGCTTATGCATGTCTCAGTGCAGCATTACTAGGGCCCCGTTAAGCGCCAGGCGAGGACCCACAGTCAGGGAGCCCGCTCACAGCGGCGGCTGCCACGTAACACTCCCACCTTCCGGCTGCGAACCGTCGCCCCTCAGACGCCCCGGAAGCGGCGCATAGGATTGTGGGAAATGTAGTCTCCTGAGCCTGCGCGTTTCCCGCCAAGGGCTCTGGGCGGGGCTTCTGGGTTCTGCGCAGGCGCGACCCCGTCCTTCGCCCCGTCAGGGCGTCCGGATCCTCCACGCGCTGCGGCGTCACGGTCGTGCGCGGCCGTTGTCTCGAGGCCGGCTGGCGCGGAGCTGAGGCGGCGCGCGGGGTGGGGAGAAAGGGGGAGGGCTTGGGGGGCGCCCTGCGTGCGGGGTGGGAGCGTCGAGTGAGGCCTGAGGGCGGGCGCGGGGGAGACCTCCTGGACGCGGGGCGCCCCGCCGGGCTCTGAGGGTGACGCCGGGCGGGGAGTGTGTGGTGGGGTTTTAGATGCCTCGCCGCGTGGGTCGTTAGGAACGCGGGGTGCGGGCCACAGGGTCGCTGAGCTCTTGCTTGTGACGACCCCCCAGATTTGCGGCCCCTCAGCTGTTGGACGTGGTTGTTCTGCTTTTGGGGCCTTTCCCGTCGCCGACGCGGTGTGCCGGGGCACGGAGGCCGAGGGGAGCCGCGGCCTGGCTGAGGCTGGTTGGGGAGAACGTCGCGGCCTTTCTGGGGGCTTCCCGGCGCGGCGCAGGGCCGGGTCCCCGGACGGACACTGCCCCAGGGTCTTCCCTGGGGGGGGGCGGGGACGGGGACGGGGTCCTGCAAGGCTGGAGCCTGGGGAAGCGCGTTTCCACCTGTGCGCAGGGGCAACACCCCAGGACAGATCTACTCGCTGTGTGTGTGGGAGGGGGGGAAGCGGGGTTCCACAGAAAAGATGGCGGGGAGGCGGGCTCTCCCGCCCACCTCTGGGAGTCTCCTAGCAAAATAGTGCATTAGGTACATTTTTTTTTTTAGATTTATTTATTTAGTATACAAGAGCTGTGGTACAGGCCAAAGGGGTGTGTGCGGGGCGTGGGGGCTGGTGAGAGGATTCACCAGAGACAGAGTGGGGAGCAGAACAGGTTGACGAAATACACTGCTGAGGGGAGCAGCTGGGAGACAGGAGAGGTCTGCTGCGCCATGTGGGTAGCTCCTGGCCGGGGTCGAACTGGCGCTGCAGAGGCTGGGGACTGCTCTGTAGTGTGGTGCTTAACCCCTTGCGCCACCAGGGAGGCCCAGCTTTGAAAGTTTTGTTCTTTGTGTGAACAATGAATCAGTAGAAAGTATTGGTTTTCATTGTTCACAGCCTCTGCAGTGCGGGGTTGGATTCCTGATCTGCCAGGGAGAAACCCACATGGAGCAGCAGAACTCTCCTGTCTCACCCGCTGCTCCCCTCAGCAATGTCTTAGGTCTGTCTGTCTGTTCTGTTCCCCGCTCTGACTCTGGTGAATTCTCTCACTCTCCTGCGCCTCTAACTGTACCCCAGTGCTTATATGCATAAACAAATTAAAAAAAAAAGGTACAGTAAATTGTAAACCCATTCTACCAGTTATGGACTTGTGGGTCCTTTTGTGCCCCTTCTAAAAGTGTGAACACTGCTGTTACACGCAGTGACTCTCTGGTCTCTCCCATGCAGTGTGGGGCGCTCTGGACAGGAGACTCCAGGAGCAGCAGCCTTAGTCCTCTCCTGTGGGACTCCATCCCCTCTCCAGCTCCAGCCCCACAGCCCTCAGGCATCTGTGAGAGCAGCAGACAATGAAGAAATCTCTGGTGAGTGATGTGTTTGCTTTAGCTTGTGGTACATTGACTTTATGCACTTTTTGAGAGTTCATCAACTGAAATGTAAAAGTAGAAACATGTAAAGTTTTCTCCAAGGACCCCTGCATCAACAAGACTGGTGTCATGTAGATCCTGGCAAATCACATGTCCAACATTTGTGGAGATTGGGCTCTGCCCTGAGGCCATGTCAGATAGTGAGACACTTGTCCCCTGATGAGAAGGGACCCCTGGGGGGCACTGTGCTGGGTGTCCTGGGGCCTGAGCTCTTGTAGAGCAGAGTCTGAACCTGGGTCTCCTTTGACGTAGCTGATGGTGTGGACTGTGGCTCTTCACCCCGCTGGACAGAAACACTTCCCAGCTCTGCGCTGCTCAGGTGCGGGGTGAGGGAGGAGGAGGAGGATGGGCCTGAGGACCCGAGTGCAGGTGGGGGGGGTGAAGGAGCCACATGTCATTTGAAAAAGACAACTGAATTTTTAAGGCTTCTGTGCAGTTGCTGAAATCCTATCCTGTGTCCCAGGCCACTCTCGGAGACTTTCATGCAGGCGTCAGTCTTGGCACGTGTGACGTTGAGTCCAATGGGGCGTCCTTACATCCCTGCCCCTGCTCTTCTCTCAGGGGGTCTGCAAACCCCAGGTGCCCAGCAGGCTGTTCTTTGCATTTTACCTTGGTGTAGTCTGAATACATTTCTAGTGAAGCTCACCTGTACCCTAAGATGTTCTCAAGTGCAGTTACACTTCTCTAGCCTTGGCCTTATCCAATTTTCCTGCCGTATTTGACAATACTATGTATGACCTTGGGAAAATTTCAGTTACTTTTTAATTGTCTTAAACCTTCCTGTACTTGTTTGCATGTTTACTTCTTTTACTTATTTTTGGCCTCCTCAGTCTGTCTTCACATGTGTGGCACTGAAAGCCTTCTGCTGAAATAGTGGTCAATTTTCTCGTATATTCCAAATGGGCTTTTCCCTATCCTTTTTTTCCCCTGGCCCCACCCTGGCCCATCCCCCTTTGCCCCTTCCCTTCTCCAACCTTTCCTTCTTCCCGAGGGTGGTAACCTTTGTCTTCTTTTTGCCTCCTTCAATTTTTATGCCTACAGTATTTTGCCTGTAAATGTATTTTGGCTATTTATTTGTTCTTTAAAGATTTATTTATTTATGCACACAAGAACTGGGGTACAGGCCAGAGGTGCGGGCGTAAGAGGATTCACCAGAGACAGAGTCGGGAGCAGAACAGGCAGACTGACTGAAATCCACTGCTGAGGGGAGCAGTGGGGAGACAGGAGAGGTCTGCGGTGCCCTGTGGGTTGCTCCCTGGCCAGGGATCAAAGTGGTGCTTCAGTGACTGGGGATGGCTTCATAGGTTGCGTCTTAACCCCTTGCGCCACCAGGGAGGCCCTATTTTGGGTGTTTATGTTCCATAGTTGAGTGAAGCCATCTAATATATGTGTCTTTACTTTTGACATATTTTACTCCAGGTAATCATGACCCGGTCCACCAATTTTGTCCTCAGGGCCACCCCTTGTTCTACCCTCCCGGGCCTGCAGTGCTCCCCTGCGTGTGCTCCACCCTTCCCGTCCCTGCCTCTGTTAAAGGGATGTAGGTTGGGCCATGAGTGGGCAGTTGGGAACAGAGCTGCTCTGTTAACGGTTGTAGATAAATCTTTTTGTATTTGAGATTTCACTTTTCAATATATAACTTACAGAAGTATTGCTGATTATGTGGAATTTCCATTTTTATTTCCTTAAGAAACCTCTGCACCGTTTTCCACAGGGACTGTCCAACTCTCATGGCCACCAGCCATGGGTGAGAGCTCCTTTTTCCTCTTTAGAGGACTGTTTATGTAGTTCCTTTGCTAATTTTTAATTGGGTCATTGTTGGTTTCTCAGATTGTTTGGAAATGAACCCCTTGTGAGATGTGTGGCCTGCAGATTTTTTTTTCTATTCTGTAGACTGCCTTTCTGCTTTTGTGCTGGTTTCTTTTGAGGTACAAAAGCTTTTAGGTTTGGTGTTGTCCCATGAGCTGATTTCTGCTTTTGTTTCCCTTGGTATTGGGGTTGTGTTCCCTGGTACAGTTTGTAGCACCCACCCATCCTGTCACATGTCCCTTATTTTCTGTCAGTAATTCATGGCTAGGGCTCTTATGTCCAAACATCGAATCCATTTGGAATTCATTTTGCGTATCGAGTTTGGTATGGGTCTTGGTTCTTATTTTTGCAAGAGGCTCTCCATGTTTCCCAGCACCATTTATTTTTCTGAAGCTGTATTTATGTACTTATTTATGCATAGAAGAACTGGGCTGTGACCAGACATGAAGGGGTTGAGAGGACTCACCAGAGACAGTGGGGAGCAGAACTGGCAGATCTACTGAAATACACCGCTGAGGGGAGAAATTGGGGAGACAGGAGAGGTCAGCTGTGCTACATGATCTGCTCCCTGCCATGGGGTAGTGCTCATATTTCTTAGTGTTAACCCCTAGGCCACAAGGGAGGCCCCCTCCCAGCACCATTTGTTTAAGAAGCTGTCTTGTTTCCATTGTGTGACTTCAGCTGCTCTGTCAGAGATGAGCTGTGTTGGTATGATTTGCTCTCTGGGTTTTCAATTGTCTTCTGGTTGTGTTTCAGGCCAATACTGTTTTGGTTACTATTGTGTTTAATATATTTTGAAGTCAGGAAGTGTGATACTTATATTTTCTTCTTTTTTCTCAAGATATTTTAGCTATTTGGGACCTTCTTTGAGTTCATATAACTGTGGTAATTGTTCTGTTTCCTGACAAAAAGAAGTCCTTGTTATTTGAGTAGGTATTGCATTCAATTTGTAAATTGCTCTGGGCAATAAGGTAATTTATGATGTTAATTCTTCCTACCTAGGAGCACAGGACATCTTTCTATTTCTCTGTCTTTGATTTCCTTTAATAGATTATTATAATTTTATGTCCCTGGTGGCATAGCAGGTTGACCTCAGAGCTATGAAGCAACCTGCAGCACTGGTTCGATTCCCGGGCGGCCAGGGAGCTACCCACATGGCACAGCAGACCTCTCCTGTCACGCCTGCTGCTCTCCTCAGCAGTGTATTTTGGTTGTCTGCCTGTTCTGCTCCCTGCTCTGTCTCTGGTGAATCCGCTCACCCTCCCATGCCTCTGGCCTGTACCCCAGTTCTTGTATAAATAAACAAAATCCTTAAAAAAATAGTCTTATAATTTTCAGGGGTCACGTCCTTTACCTCCTTCTTTAACTTTAATGAAATAATGAGTTATTTCAGTCTTTTTGGTGTGAATGTCAATGGAAATGCCAGTCATTTCACACACATTCTCAGCATAACTTGTATATACTTCCAGAAAAAGAAAAAAAAAATTATCATATTCAACCCTTATAAAACTATGAAATGGTTCAATATATTATGTAACATTTTTTTTTGAGAAGTTACACTCAAACACGGTAGTTCTTATTACAATGGGTTCCATGTTGTATGTTTGTCTACACTGTGGATATGAAATATGCAGAAAGTATCACCAAAGCTTGGTTTCCTTCATACTGTTTGAAATAATCTTGAATTCGTTGACATGACTACATTCATCAATTTTGTGTCTATGTGGTCCCCATGTTTATTACTTGAAAAGGTCATGTTATATACTGTGTCCTGTGTCTTTCCCTTTTTTAACTAGTTTCCATTCTTATCGGCTGCACAACCTGCTGTGTCCATTTGTTTAGGGTCCTCTCTGATCCATTTTAGCTCAGATCTGCTGGGAAAACCCAGGTCTCAATTTTTGCGGATGTTTGAGGAAATGTTCATTGTAAAAGATAAAATGTATTATTAAGCTTGGAGAGTACTATCTGGTTCATATATGAATCTAATAAAAGCTGCAGGAATGGCGTCTAGGACACTAAATGTTCAAATATGATTATCATTGCTTTGCTTATTATTCCATCATAACCTACAATTTCCTGCCAGTCTTTCACCTCAGTTTCTACTATGATTTTTCTCCATTGTCCTGTGTCCTTGCTGTACAAATGTTGCCTTTGGGTCAGATTTGACATCACTGAAATTACAACGTCAAAGTGTTTTCGTGGGTGTATGTGATCCTCTGTGCTTGGTGGGTGCATTGCACTCTTAGGGTGTAAACATGGAACTTACTGCATAAAGACATTCTCCCTCAGAACCATGTCTCTTTTTTTCTTTAAAGATTGATTTACTTATGCAAATAAGAACCTGGGTACAGGGCCTCCCCGGTGGCGCAGCGGTTGAGCACTGGTTTGCGAAGCTGCCCGCGCCTTCTGCAACGCTGGTTCGATTCCCAGCCACCGGGCGAGGGTCCCACATGGCGCACAGACCTCTCCTGCCGCCTGCTGCTCCCCTCAGCAGTGTACTTTGTCTGTCTGCCTGCTCTGCTCTGCTGTGCTCTCCACTCTGGCTCTGGTGAATTCTCTCACGCTCCCACGCTTCTGACTGTACCCAGTGCTTGTATAAATAAATAAAATTTAAAAAAAAATCTAAAAAAAAATAAAAGAAAGAACCCGGGTACAGGCCAGAGGGGCGGGGGTTGAGAGCATTCACCAGAGACAGAGTAGGGAGCAGAGCAGGCAAACTGAGTGAAATAAACTGCTTAGGGGAGCAGCGGGCAAGTCAGGATCCCCTGGCTGGGGATCAAACTACCACTGTGATGCCTGCAGATGGCTTCACAGGCTGTGCACAATCCCTTGCACCACCAGGGAGGCCCTCTTCTTTTTTTTAAGATTTAATTTATTTACACATACAAGAGCTGGTGTATGCGCCAGAGGTGTGTGGGCCAAGGGGCTGAGAGGACTCTCCAGAGACAGGGTGGGGGGCTGAATGGGTGGATCTTCTGAAATCCACTGCTGAGGGGAGTAGCAGGTGAGACAGGAGAGGTCTGCTGCACCCTGTGGGTAGCTCCCTGGCTGGGTGTGCAACTCATGCTCAGTGGCTGCCATAGCTTCATAGTGCTGAGACTGAGCTCTTTGTGCCACCATGAGGCCCCTTTTAACTCTCTTTACCTCTTGTCCAATTTAGAGCTCTGCTAGAGGCCCCATAGTAACTGTGTATTTTGATTTCAGGAACCCTTGACTTTCAGAGATGTGGCCATAGAATTCTCGGAGGAGGAGCAGGACTGCCTGGACCCGGCACAGTGGAAATTGTACTGGGACGTGATGTTCGAGACCTACAGGAACCTGGCGTCCTTGGGTGAGGAGAATATCCCTCCAGATTTCCTCATCTGCCCTCACCGTTTCCTGTTATGTGTGTGGGCATGCTCCTGGGATGTCCAGATTTGTAGGCTACATTTACATCCCTGCTTTTAAGAAAAACAGTGTGGGTTTGTTGGAAAGAAAGTCTCATGCTGTTTGATCATGACTTAAACTTCTGTTCTCTTAGGGTGATCTGCAGCCTGCTCTCTCTCAGTGCTCATTCAAGAAATTCAGTGCCTTAAGGGTATTGCTTCTGTTGTAGAGCAACCCCGATACAAAACGGGGTGCCTGACTGTGGGTCCTCACCCGTGCGCTTAAAAGGACTTATTAATGCTCTACTGCAGGCACACGTGAAAGGTTAATAAAAGGTTTATTTACAAGGGAAAGGGAAATGAGGAAATGTACAGTTCTGGGAGAAAAGTGGGAGACAAAGTTTTAAATGAGTCCTACCCGATCCGCCGATCAGGAATCCCAAAATGGCGTTCTCAGAGTTGGCCGCCAGCCAGGAGCGGTGAAGCCAGGAGGCGAGCGATCGCGAGCCAGAGAGCGAGCAAGGCCCACGTGTTTGGTTTTTATATCCAACCTGGCTGCCCAACTCCACCCTCAGGTCCCAGCCACCCTCCCCTTGGTGGTGATGGGATTTGTCTTTCCCAATGTCCTGATGGCTTTAGTCTGGAGTGGGGGTGGAATCCACAAAGCCTGTATGAGATTATCTCAGGACATCCTTTCCCCCTAACACTTCCACCTAAGACCCCAGCTTCCACACTTTCTAGGACTCAGAGGTCTAGAAATGGTTCTCAGGATATGAAAATTTAAATGATTTTTATTAGGGGCCTCCCTGGTGGCACAGCCGGTTGAGTGCCACTCTGTGGAGCTGTTCACAGCCTCTGCAGCACTGGTTTGGTTCCCAGCTGGCCAGGGAGATTCCCACATGGCGCTGCAGACCCCTCCTGTCTCACCTGCTGCTGCCCTCAGCAGTGTGTTTCGCCAGTTGTGTGCTCTGCTCCCTACTCTGTCTCTGGTGAATCCTCTCACCCTCCCGCGCATCTGGCCTGTACCCTGGTTCTTGCATAAAAAGAAATCTTTAAAAGTAAATAAATAAAATTGGGCCTCCCCGGTGGCGCAGTGGTTGAGCGCTGGGTTGCGAAGCTGCCCACAGCCTCTACAGCGATGGTTCGATCCCCAGCTGCTTCCCGGCCACAGAGGAGGGTCCCATATGGCGCACAGACCTCTCCTGCCGCCCGCTGCTCCCCTCAGCAGTGTACTTTGGTCCTTCTGCCTGCTCTGCTCCCCGCTCTGGCTCTGGTGAATTCTCTCACCCTCCCGCGTTTCTGACTATACCCAGTGCTTGTATAAATAAATAAAAATAAATCTTTAAAAAAAAAAGTAAATAAAATAAATGAATGAATGATTTGTAGTAAAGGTGCTGTCAGAAAAAGTATTTTCGGTGATCCTTCTCTAGAACCTTCTATATAGTCCTCTCTATTGAGTACAAGACTGCATTGGGAATTTGAGAATCTTTAGGCCATCTCATATCACCTGTCCTAATAAACAGGTCTTGCTGTGTCTAAGCCCGACCTGGTTGTCTTGTTGGAGCAAAGGATGGAGCCCTGGGATGTGAAGAGAAGTGCAGATCCCGTCCTCCTCCCAGGTAGGTGGAATGAATCAGGCAGAGGCCGCAGCTGGGAGGTGCAGTGGTCAACAGGCCAGCATCCTAAATGTCTGAGAAGCTCTGTTTCAGGGGTTGCAGACATGCTCCTCTTTTGTCTTGGAGTCTTAGTCTTGCTCTCCCTGGGGGCGTCTCCTCTCTGACACTTGAGTCCTCTGCCTTTCCTTCTCACTAACTTGAACTGAGGTGTTGTCCATTTTGTTGCTCTTTCAAGATCCAGACTTAATCTTTTAATAAGAAGCTCCTACTTTTTGGGCATGAGGTTACATTTGTGTATTTCTTATTATTTTTTTTATATTTAAAGAACAGATTTAGTAGGAAAAGGGACAGAAGAATAAAGGACACTTGCATAGACACAAGCAGGCAGAATGAACTGCCCCAAAGACACAGCTTTGCTGAGAGAGGCCTGCATGTTTGCAGGCGGGCGGCCTTGAGGAGAGTGGCCTCCGCTGAGGGAGTTCAGTAAGAATCCCCAGCAGGTACAGGTCACGTAGGCAGGAGGCTGCTGCCCAGCAGAGGGAAAGAGTTGGTGAAAAGAAGCACCTGCACAGTCATGGGTGGGCAGACAGAATGCTGCTTTCTTAACAATTTTTTTTTTTTAATAGAGGCATGTTTATTTATTTATTTGTTTTTTGTTTTGTTTATACAAGCACTGGGTACAGTCAGAAGCACGGGAGGGTGAGAGAATTCACCAGAGCCAGAGCAGGGAGCACAGCAGGCAGAAGGACCGAAGCACACTGCTGAGGGGAGCAGCGGGTGGCAGGAGAGGTCTGCGCGCCACGTGGGACCCTCCTCTGGTGGCCGGGGAGCAGCCGGGGATCGAACCAGCACCTCAGAGGCCTCCGCCAGCTTCGCAACCCAGCGCTCAACTGCTGTGCCACTGAGGAGGCCCCTTCTTAACAATTTTTAAATGTCCTCCTGTTTTCTTTCTTTTTTTTGGTAAACTTTTTAAAAAAATTTTTTTAAACTTTTTTTTTTTTTTTTTAAGATTGATTTATTTATACAAGCACTGGGGTACAGGCCAGAGGTGCGATAGGGTGAGAGAATTCACCAGTCAGAGCAGGGAGCAGAACAGGCAGAAGGACCAAAGCGCACGGCTGAGGGGAGCAGCGGGCAAGTCATGAGAGGTCTGCTGCGCCATGTGAGAATCTCCCTGGACGGCCAGGAATTGAACCCGTGCTGCAGAGGCTGCGGACAGCTTCACATTGCTGCACTCAGTGCTCTGCCCTCAACCCACTGTGCCACCGGGGATGCCCTGAGTGTCCTCCTTTCTGTTAATATGGAGTTTAAATGGTTCTTTTTCTGATTCCTTGAGGTGTGAAGTTATGAGATCCCTCTTATTGCTAGTATAATTTTTTTTAATATTTTATATAATTCTTACATCATTATTCATTTTTGCACAATGTATGCATTTTCATTTTAGTTATATTCCCCATACAATTGCACCCCCCCGCTTACTTTGACCCTAATCCTTCCCCCCCCCCCCGCAGTGTGTCTCTGGATGATAGTTGCTTGTTGATTTTGATTTTCACTTTGTATTAAATAGTCTTTTTCCTGGTCCCTTATTTAGGTTTTCTAAATTCCTGCTATGAGAGAGACCATCTGGTATTTTTCTTTTTCTTTCTGACTTACTTCGCTGAGCATGATCCCTTCTTGCTCCATCCATGTTGCTGCAAACTGCATGTGTTTACCTTTTTGAATGCTGAGTAATATTCCACAGTGTATATGTACCACATCTTCTTGATCCAGTCATCTATTTTTGGGCATTTGGGTTGTTTCCATAGCTTAGCTATTGTAAATAGTGCTGCTATAAACATAGGGGTGCAGGTGCCCTTTGGAATTAATGTTTCTGTGTCCTTTGGGTAAATACCTAAGAATGGAATTGCTGGATCATATGGAAGCTCTATGTTTAGTAGATCCAGAAATCTCCACACAGCTCTCCATAGTGGTTGGACCAGTTTGCACTCCCACCAGCAGTGCAGGAGAGTTCCTCTTTCTCCATATCCTCGCCAACATTTGTTGTTGCTAGTTTTTTTAAATATGTGCCATTCTCACTGGTGTGAGATGGTATCTCATGGTAGTTTTGATTTGCATTTCCCTGATTACAAGTGATGTTGAACATTTTTTCATATGCCTGTTGGCCATTTGCATTTCCTCTTTGGAGAAGTTTCTTTTTAGCTCTTCTGCCCATTTTTTGACTGGATTATTTTCTTAGTTTTTGTTGAGTCTCATCAGCTCTTTGTAGATTTTTATGATCAGCCCTTTATCATTAGTGTTAAGTGCAAAAATTTTCTCCTAGTCAGTGGGCTTTCTCTTTGTTTTTGTTATTGTCTCTTGCTGTGCAGAAGCTCTTTAATTTGATGTAGTCCCAGCTTTTTATCTTTGCCTTCACTATCACTGCTTTGGCCGATGCTTCTGTAAAGATGTCTTTGAGGTGCACATCATGTAATGTTTCGCCTATATTTCTTTCTATATATTTTACAGTTTCAGGTGTTACGTCTAGGTCTTTAATCCATTTTGAGTTGGTTTTTGTGCATGGTGTTAGATAGTAGTCAAGCTTCATTCTTTTGCATGTAGCAACCCAGTTTTCCCAGCACCATTTATTGAACAAACTTTCTTTGCTCCAAACTTTGCTCCTTTGTCAAAGATTAGTTGACCATAAATCTGTGGGTTTGTTTCTGGATTTTCTGTTCGGTTCCATTGGTCCATGTGTCTATTCTTGTTCCAGTACCATGCAGTTTTAATGATTATGACTTTGTAGTATAGTTTGAAGTCTGGGAGTGTGATGCCTCCATTCCCTTCTTTTTTTTTTCAGGAGAGCTTTGGCTATTCGGGGTTTTTGATGATTCCATATGAATTTCATCAATAACTGTTCTATTTCTTTTTTTTAATTAAATCTTTTTTTTAAAGATTTATTTATTTATTTATACAAGCACTGGGTACAGTCAGAAGCGCAGGAGGGTGAGAGAATTCACCAGAGCCAGAGCAGGGAGCAGAGCAGGCAGAAAGACCGAAGTACACTGCTAAGGGGAGCAGTGGGCGGCAGAAGAGGTCTGCGCACCATGCGGGACCCTCCTCCAGTGGCCAGGGAGCAACTGGGGATCGAACCGGCACTGTAGAGGCTGCGGGCAGCTTCACAAACCAGCGCTTAACCACTGCGCCACCAGGGAGGCCCAATAACTGTTCTATTTCTTTGAAGAATGTCATTGAAATTTTTATTGGAATAGCATTGAATCTGTAAATTGCTTTTGGTAGGATGGCCATTTTGATAATGTTAATTCTTCCAATCCATGAGCAGGGGATGTCTTTCCATTTCTTGTGTTTTCTTCTATTTCTTTTAACAGTGTTTTGTAGGTTTTTTTTTTTTTTTTTTTTTTTTTTTTTTGTATAGGTCCTTTACCTCTTTTGTTAGGCTTATTCCCAAGTATTTGATTTTTTTTGTTTTGATAATAAAAGGAATGCTTTTTTTTTATTTCTTCAGATTTATCATTTGTGTATAGTAAGGCTACTGATTTTTGCATGTTGATTTTGTATACTGCCACTTTACTAAACTGATTGATTAGTTTAATTAGTTTTTCTGTGGTGTTTTTGGGGTTCTGTATGTATATATATATCATCTGCGAATAGTGATATTTAACTTCTTCCTTCCCTATTTGAATTCCTTATATGTCTTTCTCTTGTTTTACTGCTCTGGCTAGGACTTCCAGTATTATATTGAAAAGCAGTGGTGAGAGTGGACATCCTTGTCTTGTTCCAGATCTTAATGGAAATGCTTTCAGCTTTTGCCATTGAGAATGATACTGGCTATGGGCTTGTCACATATGGCCTTTATGATGTTGAGGTATGTTCTTGTATCCAAGGGCCTTTATCATAAATGGGTGTTGTACTTTGTCGAAAGCTTTCTTGGCATCTATTGATAACATCATGTGGTTTTTATATTTCTTTTTGTTGATTTGTTGGATAACATTTTTTTGTTGTTGTTGGATAACATTGATTGATTTTCAGATGTTGAACCATCCTTGTGTCCCTGGAATAAATCCTACTTGGTTGTGGTGAATTATCGTGTGGATACATTGTTGGATTCTGATAGCTAAAATTTTATTGAGGATTTTTGCATCTGTGTTCATTAGAGAGATTGGCCTGTAGTTTTCTTTTTTGTGTTGTCCTTGTTTGGTTTTGGTATTAGTGTAATGTTGGCTTCATAGAGCGTGTTTGGTATTATCCCGTCCTTCTCAATTTTTTTAAAGATTTATTTATTTATTTGTTTGTTTGTTTGTTTATTTATTTATACAAGCACTGGGTACAGTCAGAAGCGCGGGAGGGTGAGAGAATTCACCAGAGCCAGAGCAGGGAGCACAGCAGGCAGAAGGACTGAAGTACACTGCTGAGGGGAGCAGCGGGCGGCAGGAGAGGTCTGCGCGCCATGAGGGACCCTCCTGTAGTGGCCAGGGAGCAGCCGGGGATCGAACCAGTGCTGCAGAGGCTGCGGGCAGCTTCGCAACCCAGCGCTCAACCGCTGCGCCATCGGGGAGGCCCTCCTTCTCAATTTTTTGAAAGAGTTTGTGAAGGATAGGCACCAATTCGTTTTCAGCATTTGGTAGAATTCATTTGTAAATCCATCAGGTCCTGTGCTTTTGTTTTTGGAAAGGTTTTTGATTACCATTTCAATTTCGCTGCTTGTAATTGGTCTGTTTAGGTGTTCTATTTCTTCTTTATCTAGCTTTGGGTGATTGTAGAGTTGTAGGAATTTGTCCATCTCTTCTAGATTGTTGAACTTTTTCGCATATAACTGTTGATAGTAGTTTCCGATTAGTCTTTTGATTTCTGCTGTGTCTTTTGTGATTTCTCCTTTCTCATTTGTGATCCTATTTGTTTGTGCTTTCTCCCATTTTTCCTTTGTGAGCCTGGCTAGGGGTTTGTCCATTTTATTTATTTTTTCGAAGAACCAGCTTTTGGTTTCATTGATCCTTTGGATTTTTTTT